GGGAACAAAGATAAGGATTTTTTTTTTTTTTTTTTTTTTTTTTTTCCCCTTCACCTCTTCTCGTGTGTGTGCGTGTGTGTGTGTGTGTGAAGGACCCTCCTGGTTACCGCTGTTATTATTTTCCCTTAGCAGGGAGACCACACAAGCCATGGCTGAGAGGAAGCAGTCTGGCCGGCAAGGCGAGGAAGAAGAAGTGCCAGCCTTCTTCAAAAACCTGGGCTCGGGCAGTCCCAAGCCCCGGCAGAAATTCTGTGGCATGTTCTGCCCGGTGGAAGGCTCCTTGGAGAACAAGACCATCGACTTCGACTCCCTCTCGGTGGGCCGCGGATGTAACAAAGTCGTGGCAAAGCAGAAGGATGTTGCCCACCTGGGTCCGGATGCTCAGTCCGTCTATTCCAGGCAGAGCGGGAAGGGAGGGGAACCATCTGTTGATTTCGGGAGAAAGGTGGAGATCAGGAGTGCCACTGGGAAGGAGGCGCTGCAGAACCTGAATGACAAGGTGGGTGCATATATATATCTGTGTGTGTGTGTGTGTGTGTGAGATGCAACCTGAACACACGAGAGGCTGCAGAAGGATGTGTCCTTCCCACCCTGCAGCTTTCTTGCTTTTATGTCACCTGCATAGGTTGTGGCAGTCGGTGTCTAAGAAGCAGCATCTCTGCTAGAGCGTTCTTGCCAGAACTCTAATGTTATCCGTGTGCTCTCTGCAGGTGTGTGTGTATGTGCACAGGGAGGAGGGCAGAAGAAGAAAGGAGCCCCTGCACCCACAAACACCTTCCCTTTCCCCGCCCTGCCTTCCTAGTTGGTGATAGAGAACGACTTTTTTTGTTTCTTAGGCAATTCCCCCCAGCACAACGGTAGCAAAATGCCCCACCCAGCTAGTGAATGCAGCTCCCGGGAACAGAAATGCAATTGTTAGCAAAAGAGCATCAATGAGCCTCCACCTACAGGGATCGAATCCCTGCGGGCTTCTGCCGGGGGAAACTCCTACCCCCTCTTCCCAGGGGAGGGCAGACTCCAGAGTGACCCCTGGGAGCTGTGTTTCGATACCAATTTTGATCAAGGCCTCTGGCTACAATGGGAATTTTTGCCTCTGGAAGATCTGGGACTTTGACAGGAATGTGGCGTTCTCTTAGAAACCCACTGAACTCCTCCCAGTCTTTGAAGACTCCTGAAGCTATTTCCTCACCCTCTGGATGTGCCATGGTGTAATAAACCCTATCCTCTTCCTGAGGCAAACCCCATTCAACCCACAGGTCTGGCTGACCGTGCGCATTTGCTTTCCTCGATAAATAGATTTTAGCAAGCTTTATTCTGAGATCTGAGCCGTGAAATACTCTGGGTGTTCCTCTGACAATGCTGGCTCCTGGGCATGGGCTGGAAGAGCGGAAATGAATGAAGCAGCGACCAGCAGAGCGATAAACTCCTGGCGTACGGGGAAGGAGTTTCTGTGAGTAGTGCCCCGGCGGGTTGATGGAGCAGTCTGTCCTTCTGGAAACAGTTTCTAGCGTGTGCCTCCTGATTTTTACTAACGGTATGGATTGGATATACAGGGCAGAAGTCTGCCTGGAATTTATAATATGGGCTTGTCCGCCGCTTTCTCCTGCTTTCAGAAATGTGAAATATTACTGAGGGTATTACTGGGGGCTCATCCTCCCCAGGCCAGACCATATTTGCTCCTTCCTACTGCCGTAACCCAAGGGCTCCATCCGGCCGTACTTACATGGGTGAACAACTGCTGTTTGAGATCCCAAAGCTAGGCCCTGATTTTCACAAGTGCCACGCACCAACCTTTAGTTAGGAGCGGGATTTGCTCCACGCCGCCTCAAACCCGATTTGCCAAACCCAGACAAAAGTTTGCCACTAGAAATGCCTACGGGTTGATGTGACCATGTTGAAGTGCCTACTAATTGAGTAACTTCCCATGATTAATTAGTCTTGTTGGCCTAACCAAGGTGCATCTCGGAAATAAAGGGTATACGCCTCTTCAGCTTTGCGAATCAAAGGTTTTGCAATTCAGGACGTTTTCAGAACTAATTTTGGACAATTTGATGTGGTGATGGCCTGCAGGACATAAGTATAAACAGGTGATATATTAATTCTGAAAAGATTAATTATTTTGTGATTGAAGGGTACCAGTATAATAAAAAAACTCTAAGTGTAATATGGTGAGAAATCAGAAGTCCACATAGAACATTAATCACATTTTTTAAGAAGTATGTGTTTTGTTCCTACTTTTAAAGATTGTTGTATTAATGTTCACTGAGGGTGTGGAATAATGGCATAGTGCAAACCATTTGAGTTGTTTCTCATTAGCTTTACACAACACTGATGCCAGCAGATTGTACAGTGAGGGGTTGTGAGCGTCTGGGTAAGTGCAGCCTTTTATTATAAATGCCTTGCTATGGATTGGCATTTTATTGCAGGAGTGTTTTAGCTTTGATGGTTTTCCAGCAGGCTGCATCTAAACTTGGATCAATGGTTAGATCCTCAGCAGGCAAAACTGGCTTCACTTCAGTGTAGTTAACAGAAGTGTCTTTACGACGATAATCAAAGCTCAATGTATTAAAAAAAAAGGTAAAGAAAAATAACGCTGCAGGAAGTGGCATTAAAGGGAAATGGGGCATTAAAATAATTTCAGATCGGAGTTAACAGGCTTCTGAAGTTTTGCAACTGAATTTGGCCCATTATTTTCAAACCTCTGTCTTAAGCATTTAATAACACATCTGAAATCGGTTCTCCCTGGATAGACTGCACACTATTTCCATGTGATAGGAATCTAAACTACAGTGGAAAGGAACAGCATGTTACGTGATCTTGAATTTCTAACTCGCGTGAATTATTTCACAATAGGCCAGAAATCTTACTGCTTCTTTTTCCTTAGCTCGAGGCTGACAGTAGTTGCAATTTTTATCAATACATGTAACAATGAACACACAGGACGGTCCGTGCTCCGTTTGAGGAACCGAAGGACGCTGTCGTGAGCCGATGGCAATGGGTGCCCATGGCCCGGAGGCAATGGGGATAGCTGGAAGTATTTGAGCCAGTGGCTGAAGCCAAAGCGAGCTTAAAACAGTCATCCTCTCTGTCACCGTACAGAAGGATCTTGTATTAATCTCCGCGGAAATAATTAACAAAGGATGGACAAGCTCTTTCTTATTTTCCTGAGTTCTTAACTGCTCAGAGGATAAAAAAAGGGCATCTAATTATTCCACATTAAATTGCAATATATTGTTCTGCAGGCAAAGATAAGGGTAATCAAATCGCTTTGCGTCTACCCTGGCTAGGGTATTCTACAGGCATCTATCATGGCCTTGCTTTATTGCCTCTGGGCCACGCTGCCTCATCATTCAGGGTTAAGATCATCTCTAGAGGCACTAGGAAGGCTCTCTATCTTAGTTTAAGCAGCTCTTTACAGTTAGGCCTCTGGAGGCAGTGTGACCTATTCAACAGGTCTGCAACTCAGCAGATCGGAGCCAAGCCACTTCCCAGCTGTCAGGCCTTGGAGAATTAACTGCGCTTCTATTGCCCGTCTTAAACTTGGTCATCTTCCCTCTTTAGACTGCTAATGCCTGGTCCTGGAGCTACTTGTTCAATGTCTGAGCACTGCTTAGTGCTTCGAGGCCATGACCTCAGCTGGGCCATCGCTGCCGCCTAACAAGAACGTGATGTTCAAATCCAGGATTTCTTGACTGAGACAATGAACACCTGGCCTGGCTTTCATGAACTGCTGTGCACCTGCAAGCCCATTTCCTACAGCGGGGTTGGTTTTCAGACAGCACCAGGGCAGGGACCTGTGGAACTTACTCAGTAGCGCTGCTTTGTAGTAGTCAGTGCAGAAGCTGCAAGTTACCTCGTCTCAGAGCAAGGGGACTGATAAAATGGTTTCCCAGGGCATTGGTCCTCTGTTCCTTAGATGAACGGTCTTGAGACATACACATTCACGTGGGTTTTGGAAAACCTTGGCCATTGCTTGCTTGACCTGGGTCATTTCCCTCTGTGTATTTCCCAGATTCCCCATGCGTGTAATTGGCATTGCTTCTATCTTGCTCATCTGTTGAAATTCTTCGGGACAGAGACAATCTTTTAGGGGCCATCTATAGGGAAAAGCAAGGTTTGATTGCCAGAGGGATCAGCCAGCCTGGGGCTTGCTTTAATCTAGTTTGCATAGAGAGCCCGAGTAGGAGCTAAGACACTTCAACACTAATACAAGCCCCGGGATCCCAGATCCCTTCTTAAATTGCTACTTAAAGTTCCCGTTGCCACCTTGTCGTTATTCCAGTGATTCGGGTGGTTCCCCTGTGCAACAAACAGTTACCTTTACACACCATTTTTGCATCCTTCAGAAACAATTCGTGGACCTTTGGAAAGTACAGAGCACTGGGTGTAAACTACTGGCCTAAACCAACAAAGCTATGTCCTATTGTAATAAGATAAATAGCAATCATAAATAAACCGACTAGGAAAAATATTTTTATTTTAGAATTGACAGGAGAGGAATCACTTGCAAAACACAGTGTCGTGAAGCTTTTGATACGACTGGGCTTTTTGCGAAAACCTCAAAGCTCTTAGGATCATGGTTGTTCGTTCCTGGAGAGAAATAATGAATAACAGGGCGTTGTTGAGAGCTCAAATAATCATAGACTCTGGAACGTTAATGGAACTGTTGTGTAAAACAAAGAAGCTGTTCCAGACAGCTGGAAAATGCAGTTCTGAGTTTAATTTCTTACAATGCCTGCAATTTTTCTAGCCTTGTTTCGACAGTCATTGCTTGCAAAATAATCATACAGGAGGATGACTTGCATGTTCCTCCAATGGATTGTAATAGTTTGTCTGGCTACTGAAAACAAAAAAAGCCATAGAGAAACTAACAATAATGAGCACAAATGCCAAATTCCTCGTAACTTCTTAGATCCCTCTCAGAACCATCGATCTGTGTAGCTGGAACGTGCCACGCATCCAGTGGGTGTCTCGTGGAGCGGTCTGTTGGTTACCAATACCACTCTCGTGCAGAAATGAGCCAAGAGGCTTTGGTACAGCGCCAGCTTATTATCTGGGCTAAAGACTGGAGGAAAAACTTAAAACACCTGGGGCCAGATCTCCCCACTCGCTTTGGAGCTGAGTCGATTCAGTTCTTTCAGCAGCACCTTGCGATGCAGGCTTTATCTCGGGGGATAGATTCAGGACCTGGCACGATGAGCTTGGCAGCTTTGCGTGCCACCCTTATGCTGTGGCCATCGTTTGACATGAGGCATCTGCTTTTAGTAGGTGCTGAGCAGTTGTGTAGGTCTGCCTGAAACCTTTTACCTGCAGGACCACGTCTAACTCCCGCTATCACTTGTCTGTCTTGTGGCATGTGAAATCTGAGTCTGCCTTCTGTGGTGGTGTTGTAAAGTTGGGAAATGATGGAGGCAGCAAAGCTCATGTGAAGTTGATGTGTGTGTTCTGCATGAACTCTCCTACCCTGGGAAGGGACAGTACTGGGTCAGTCCTGGGACC